TAGAGACCCTACGAGATATAGGAGGTTGGTTGGCAAATTGAATTACCTCACAGTGACTAGACCTGACATTTCTTTTCCGGTGAGTGTTGTAAGTCAGTTTATGGATTCTCCCTGTGATAGTCACTGGGATGCAGTTGTTCGCATTCTTTGGTATATAAAGTCAGCTCCAGGCAAAGAATTACTATTCGAGGATCGAGGCAACGAGCAGATTGTTGGGTACACAGATGTTGATTGGGCAGGATCACCTTTTGATAGACGTTCTACGTCTGGATATTATGTTCTAGTAGGAGGTAACTTGGTCTCGTGGAAGAGCAAGAAACAGAATGTAGTTGCTCGATCTAGCGCCGAAGCTGAATATCGGGCCATGGCTATGGCGACGTGTGAATTAGTTTGGGACAAGCAGTTGCTCAAGGAGTTAAAGTTCGGAGAAATCAGCAAGATGTAACTAGTGTGTGATAACCAAGCTGCTCTTCATATTGTCTCAAATCTGGTGTTCCATGAGAGGACTAAACACATTGAAATCGACTGTCACTTTGTCAGAGAAAAAATACTTTAAGGAGATATTGTTATAAAGTTTGTAAAGTCGAATGATCAACTAGCAGATACTTTCACTAAGTCTCTTACTGGTTCTCATATTAGCTATATGTGTAACAAGCTCGGTACATATGATGTGTATGCACCGGCTTGAGAGGGAGTGTTAGTTTACAGATATGTATAGTGTAGTCTTGTCCCATGTTGGAAGAGGAGTAATATCTCCTTGTAGTGTATAGCTATAAATAGGGACCTCTTGTATTGTATTTATTATTCAATATCAATAACATATTTTCTCCCGTGCCTTCTCACAAGTGCTACCAAGAAAGCATGTTCCACTACAACGCCAAGAGACAAATATAAAAACTTAGCAATACCTTAAACTGAGAATTCCCAAGAATTAAGGATACCTGTGAACTCAGAGCAGCACATCAAGCAACAAGGTCCCTATATATCAAATCAATTCCGTAATGGAGAATCCCCACTTGTGGTATTACACTGGATTTGTTGTTGCTGTAATGGAGAAACCTTATTGTTGTACTAAAACTTACCCTGTATCTGAACTTACATTCATTCCGTAACAGGACAAGCTTATCATAGTGTCAAATTCTAGCCATTTTTAGATCAGAATTGTGGCAATGCTCACCCCTTCTCTAACTAACATCACTTTCATATTGGAGCACCGTTTCATAGTCCCAAGGTCATACTTAAATCATTTCCATGTTTCGACATGCTTGATATTTTGTAACCCACATCTAAGACTTTGCCACACAAAACAGCTTTCATCTGAAGGATGTATATCTTTCAGTTGTTTCGTTTAGATACAGGCAGGATCATCTTTAATATACAGATATCCTTAAAATTAATAATATTCTCCAACATTGAATGTCTTGGTTGGTACCTTGGGGCTGTTGGAAACTTTTCCAACTTCAAGGAAAATTCATCAATTGATCACACATTACCTTGAATATTATGTATGGGATCACTTTTTGTAACGACCCGACCGGCCGTTTTGCTTTCTAGACCCCCGTTCCCCTAAATAAGACTCCCCGTATACGCTTTTACTGTTTTATGATTTGCGGGGATGGTTAGTTCGGGATTTGGAAGGGTTCGGGTTGAAATCGGAACACTTGGTTCCGTGGTTTGGCTTTTAAAGGCTAAGTTTGACTTTGGTCAACATTTCGAGTAAACGACCTCAGAATCGGGATTTGGCGTTTCCAATAGGTTCGTATGATGATTTTGGACTTGGGCGTATGTTCGAATCGGGTTTTGGATGACCCGGGAACGTTTCAGCGCTTAATATTGAAAATTGGCTTATTGAAGGTTTAAAAGTTCTTTAAATTTGGTTTGGAGTAGGTTTTGGTGTTATCGATGCCCGTTTGGGATTCCGAGCCTGGGAATAGTTCCGAATGGTAATTTAAGACTTGCACGCAAAATTTGGTGTCATTTCAAGTAGTCTAAGTACGATTCGGCGCGTTCGGAGCGAATTGGAAACTTGAAGTTCATAATTTGGTTTAATTGGTTTTGGGATGTGATTCTTAGTTTCGTTGTTGTTTTACGCGTTTCTAGAGTTTGAGCAGGTCCGTATTATGTTTATGGACTTGTTGGTGCATTTGAACGGGGTCCCGAGTGGCTCGGGTGTGTTTCGGACCACCTGGAGCTAAGTTGGAAAAACCAGATTTTCCAGTTCTGGTTTCCTTATTCGCGAACGCGGAAGGACCCTCGCGTTTGTGAGGAAGAAATTGGGCTGGGGAAATTTTGTGCTTCGCGTTCGCGTGATGGGGGGCGCGTTCGCGAAGGGTAAGGCGAGCTGGGTGGGGGTGCCACCGTTGTTCTTCGCGTCCGCGACGCTGCCCTCGCGTAGGGCAGGTAAGCCTCCGCGTTCGCGATGGCCAATATTTTTCTAGGCCTGAACCGTTTGCTTTCGCGAACGCGAGGCCCTTTCCACGTTCGCGAAGAAGGGGGCAGCTGGGCAGAACACCTTAAAACGGGACTTAGGCTATTTTTGAGCTCATTTATTACACACTTGGGCGATTTTGGAGCTTTAAAGAGGGGGATTTCAACCTAGCTATTGAAGGTAAGTAATTTCTACCCAATGTAAGTTTAATACATAGATTATGGGTAGATTTTAACATGAAAAATTGTGAAAAACTGTGGGTTTAGTTGAAAAACCTAGGTTTTGATAAAAATGGAATTTAACCACGAAAATAGTTATGGAATTGAGTAAAAATTATATATTTGAGTTCGTAAGGTTATGGGTAACAACTTTCTTCGAAAATTTCGGGAATCCGGACACGTTGGCCTGGGGATGAATTTTAGGAATCCTTCAATTAGGGTTGGGTAATCACTTTAATAGTTAGAATATGAACTTTTGAACATATATTGATTGATTTATACAACATTTGAAAAGTTTCGGATTGTTCGGCACCGAGTTGAGGCTTTAGAGTGAATTTGAGGCCGGAAAGTGAGCTTTGAGACGAGGTAAGTCTCTTGTCTAACCTTGTAAGAGGGAATTTACCCCATAGGTGATTTAAATTAATGTTTGCTTCTAATTGAGGGGGCTACGTACGTACGAGATGACGAGAGTCCGTGCGTAGCTACTAATTATGCTTATGTCCGGGTAGTCTTAGGACCCGAATCACGAATTATTTGAAATGTTTGCACTCTACTTGTTAATTAAAGTGCCTAAATTATATTAGAACTTGTTAGAGGAATCGTGAAAGACCGTTAATGGAATTTGTATTACATTGTGTATTAGCCTTTAATAACGTTTAAGTCAAATGCTTATAAAGTATCCTCTCTTCTTGTGGAGCGGGCCGAACGCCTCGGCAGTAGATAGATGCATCTATGGTTCGTGCCGCTCGACCCTCGGCAGTGTACACATTATTCTGGATCGGGTTGTACGACCTCGGCATAATCGTGCGTGTTAATACTCAGAGTTTAATTATATATTTGATATCATTTCATGGCTTGAGAGGTTAAAAGTATACTTGATGGAATTAATTTGGGACTTACCATGTGTGAAAGAATTATTTACTTCCTGCTTGTTATTTAGTGTTTAAACAAGAGTGGGTTGCTCTAGTGGTTAGCACCCTCCACTTCCAACCAAGAGGTTGTGAGTTCGAGTCACCCCAAGAGCAAGGTGGGGAGTTCTTGGAGGGAGGGAGCCGAGGGTCTATCGGAAACAGCCTCTCTACCCAGGGTAAGGGTAAGGTCTGCATACACACTACCCTCCCCATACCCCACTAGTGGGATTATACTGGGTTGTTGTTGTTGTTGTTGCTTGTTATTTAGTGATTATTTTGATTACATAACTCATGCTTATTTAGAACTTCTGTACTTTTATTGGTAGCCCATAGTAAGTGTCGATGTCGACCCCTCGTCACTACTTCTTCGAGGTTAGACTTGATACTTACTGGTGCATGTTGTTTATGTACTCACGCTACACTTCTGCACTAACCGTGCAGGATCTGAGGCAGGTGCATCTGGTGGACATACCGGCGCACACCCCCGTTACCCGGAGGCCTAGTGGTGAGCTGCATCCTGAGTCGTTCTGCAGCACCTAGAGCTTTTCTTTTGTACTTATTTTTCTGTCTATGTTATTTATTTCAGACATTAGTTAGAGTTTTGTATATTCTACTAGTGCTCATACACTTGTGACACCAGATCATGGCACACACTTTAGTAGACTTTATGGTTTTGGAGTATTTACATATTTATGCTTGCATTCAGAAGCTTTCATTTTATTCATTTGACTCTTTATTTCTCAAATTTCTAAATAAATGAAATTTAATTACTTGTAAGCCTATTAAAAGAAGTAATCACGCAATAAATTCATCGTAGGCTTGCCTAGCAGCGACGTTGGGCGCCATCACGGCATATAGGAGAAATTGGATCGTGACACTTTTAGTCCCAAAATAAATAAAGAAAGAAATTGTCTCTCCCACCAATCTCTGGCTAATGTAGAGGGAAAAGAAAAAGGCATTTCAACTCTTAGCTTAAATATCCCAAACAACCATGAGTTGCAACATCGAAAGCACAGAGGGAATAACAGAAACAAATAGAACTAGCTCATGCAACTAACATACAGCAGAAAGAAAGAACTTTAGACATTGCTTTCACCATTTTGAACTTGCCATCAAGAAACTGTATGCACCTCATTAGTTTCGACTACAGTAGAAAAGGATGTATTACCAACAAAAAGTTGACAATACAGATTCGACCTGCTTCTAGAGCATGTCTTTTTTCAAAATTCAAATAAACTAAAACAGAAAGCTCTCTCCCTTATGTTTTACTTTAGATTATGTAGAACCAGAAACCTTTCAACCTTATAACAGTTTTGGGATATAAATGGACCTGAATTCAGATATAGTAACAAGATGCAATGTCACAAAAACCCACATGAACTTTCTTCTTCTTCTTCTTCAGAAACAGTCAAAATTCATGTCACTTATTACTTTATCAGAGAAATATAATCAACTCGACTAGGTATTCGAAAAAATAACTATCAAGAAAGGCGGAGGATTCAAGTTCCATACCTCAGCAGTTGTACCGGTGGTTGCTAATTTTATCCTTCCATTAATTGGATCCCTGTGAACTCGAATCTGGAATAAAATTTTACCAGCAATCGCACTCAAAAGTCAAAGAGAGAAACAAATTCTACGGAAAGAGAACAAAATATCAGAGACATTAGGCGTCCACCTACCACGCCGATCGTGTAAGGAGCATCAACTTGCCTCAGTGCCTTTTCAACAGCAGCTATGAAATTAGGCTGAACAACTCGCAGAGGAAGTGTAGCCTCGGGAAATAAAACAACTCCTAAGAAGATGAGTAAAATAAAGCACATAAGACACTATAACGGATGTTAAACTACCCAAGAAACCCACACAATTAACATTTGCTGCCTTTTTTTTATTTATGACAAGGAACTTAACATTTGCTGCCTAGAAATCTGAACTCTGAAGTAATTGTTGAGCTGAAAGAAAAGCTTACATGCTAATTTGGGAACAACTAAGCAAACATACCATGAAATTAGCTGGAAAAATAGCATTTGACCATTTTACAGCTCTACTAGTGCTAACTGAATGAAAGCTTAAGATATTACTCCATAGCTACCATCTAGAATTAACTTACATTCATTAGTATCAGAAGGAAATGAAATGATTCTTGTAGCTAGATAACTAGAAATGGTAGAGAAACCACTGTCATGAATCTTAAATAAAGTATTTAGGGTTCCAAACTTCTGAAATGGTTAATCTAAATAATCACTAGAAAATCATGGTTAGATATAAAAGAGACACAAATTTCAAAAAAAAAAAAAATTTAAAAGGAAAAGTGAAATTCATTTATGGTAAAAGACTCATGAAGTGCAGCCACTTCTCAAGAAGAAACTGAGACAACATAGGATCTAGTTGAACTTCACAAACATCATATAGTAACATACCTCACATCAAGAATTGCACAACTAAGACAGCTTGTGTCAAACACTTTGTGGTCATATTTCCTTCTCCTCCATAAATACTTATATATATTTATTTATTTTTATTTATTTTAAATTTTAATAGAAAAAAGGCATAGCCACAAGGCAACCGAATAATACAAGCACCTTCAAGATAGAATAGAGGAACATTTAAGACAGCCCCGCCGTCCAAGAAGGACAGCCTGTTATGAGTATCCTCGACATCTGACACAAGAAAATGTAAAAACAATAAGTCAAACAGCGTGGAGAAATACATCATCCTGAAAAAGTATATGAAAAATGAAAATTGAAAAGCAGAATACACCTACCACCAAGGTAAGAATGTAAGGCAGCCAAAGAGGTGTCATAAGTAAATTCACCAGATGCGGATGCTCCCGCCGAAGTACGATAACTATGATCAACAGCCAAGTACAAAAAAAGATCATTTCATAATTGGTACTTTTTGTAAGGAAATTCTTAATTGATACTTGTTAGGAGATGAAACTCCATTAGATCACATAGCTGAAAAATGTTACTCACTATGTTTCATTATATGGCATTCGTTCCTTTTTAGTCAATTCCAAAAAGCATGACAACTTTCTTTAATTGGAAATTCTTTAACTTTAAACCTCTCATTCTACCCTAATAAAATGTTCTTATAGCCATAGAAATATCATGGCATGTTTAAGACTACAAGTTCCAAGGATACTTTTGTTACGTTGGTTATTAAAAAAAAAGGGTACTTTTGCTATGTGCCAAAAGTTCTTTCTTAAGTTTCACGCCCAATCAAGCACCGTCATTTTAAAAAAGAGGAGACTGAACATATCAATCAGCACATTGGGACTATGTCAGAAGAATCAGATTGACTGGCCTCCAACTCAGATTTGAACATATTAGTGTTTGGGACAACTTGCACGCACCTGAACTATACAAACGGATACCTGCTATTTCTCACAAGCAAAACTATCGAGTAACTCTACCTACCAAAGCTTAGGTAGATAGGACAAAATCACTTAGCACTTATTTGTCTCCGCTAAGATTTGAACATGATCTCCTATGGTTTTCATCCCACTTCATTGACTGCAAAGACACACCCTTATAAATTTTCAAATTTCTTATAAATTTCTATTTTTTATTATCAATATAAGTTTGAACCAACGTAACTAATACGAGAATACATTAATGTACTTATTAAGACATGAAGCTATGCAGGTAACATGAAAAATGCGTCCTTTTTAAAAGATCTAAGAAGAGCTAAAAGTGTATCTTGCCCCGACGCCACATCATCAAAATATATATAATTTAGTGGAATTTTCAACAAAAGAAAATTATGAGCTTCATATACTATTCCTTTCTATGTTTTATGTTGATGGTACTGATATATTATCTCTTTTCGTATTCTTGAGTTGAGGGTCTTTCGGAAACAACTCTCTGCTCTCTCGGGTAGGGATAAGGTCTGCGTACACACTACCTCCACAGACCCCACTTGTGAGATTTTACTGGGTTGTTGTTGTATATACTATTCCTTTCATTTTCCGTTTCCAATTTGCAAATAAATGATATAGCTAAATTAAGCATATAAATCTCAAAAAAAAATAAAAAATAGACCCATCTGTCCAACAACTTTCCTTGAACTCTCCAAGCACAACTATTACTCTAAACTAAAAACCCTAAATCAAAATTTTAATAACACATCGAAATTGAAACGGAAAATCAGAGTACGATAAACAGTAAAATTTTACGTTAATTCATCGTCTGATGATTCTTCTTCATCCACTTCTTCAACTTGCAATTCCTCAGATTCCAGCTGGCGAATCTGCTCCATTTGGTACCTTTCTCTCTCTAGAATTCTATCTTCCTCCATTTTTTTCTACTATATTTCGATTCAATCAATTTGTAAGTGTTTTATACGAGTAGTAAAAATACACTACTAAGTTTGGTAGACTGATTAATGAATGAACCTACGAGAACCCGCGAAGAGCAGGAGATTTGCCCGATGGATCCTTAAACGACAGCGTTTGCATCAACACACAAGTAATAAACGGTAAACCGCGAGGATAACAGACGTTTAATAGTATTTGGTTACTTTAAATTGCCAAAACATAATTAATTTGATTTCCTTTAAATGACATGATTTTTAATTCCAACTCTTATTAATATCACTCATTTCAACATTTAGACATTACTAGTCTCAACCTACGCGTGTTGCGCGAGTACCTGTGTCGATGAGCAAAAGATTTTAAGAAATCATATAAATATTATAAAAGATTGTATTTTGAGTTATATAATAAAATTCCAAGACAATAATATAAATTTCTAAAAATGATAAATATTTCTCCTATTTAGCTAACTTAATTACGAAGGAAAATTGCTCCATAGACTCCTCATAGCCTTAAGTCAAATTATTCACTCATTTATTAATTGAAGGAACATTTTATTTATTCCAAGAGAACCACTTGCAAATTGAATTGGAAGTTTATACCAATCATTCAGCTTTACATTGTTATTATTTAAGTCAGATTTGTATTTAAATTTTTTATTAGTATTAGTTAACTTCAAACCGTAAATAATTTTCCTTACAAGTTTAGACATTGAAATTTGTCTTTTAAATTCTATAACTGCATCTAATAGAAGTAAACTCTATCTTCTCATAAACATGAAACATATGAAATATATTTATGAAAATTGAAATCAAAATACAATTTTAATTTTGCGATTAATTTTTCATTTTCTTGTATGTATGGATACCTCAAAAGAAATATTAACTTGAACATATTTATTATAATATATAGAAACATGTGATAAAAACCTTAACAGCATAAATAGAAATAATATGGATGATAAATAATATTGTGAAAAAACATGCATAAAAGTAATTAAGTATGAGCAATGGGTTTAGAATTTAAACGTTCACCTCACATAATGCATTTAATTAAATTTAAATACTGGATTTATAAGTTGTTTCTTGTGGCCCAGACGTCATTTTCTTTTATATAAATGATTCCTTTGAACATAAATGACTTATGAATTTGCCTAGATATGTATAATTTTGCAGAAAGCTTGAGGTGGATGCGTGCTTGTTATTTAATTATTATAAAATATTTATAGATTTTGCAGGGATTTAAATCCCTAAATATTAGGGGTTACTACCCAATCCTAATAAGGAAAGATTTAATGACCACAATTTTAGTCAACGTTAAAATCCTAAATATTAGGAATAGATAAAATTTAATTGATATTAAAATTTTAAATATTAGGAGAATAATTAAATAACAAGTTTGTCCAGTGTAAAATTTATTTTTAAAGGGTAAAAAAGGCGAACGACATTTCGCTAAGGGCCTTCGAGCTTTTAATATAGTACTAGTATCTATGAACGTGCGTTGCAAGTTAATAATGGCACGTGATGATTTAAACATTTATTTATATGAAGGAACAATAAAATTTAATTAATGAGAGAAAATTTATGTATAATAATATAACAATCATCTAAATATCGGAAAATATTATTACATTAACATAATACATGAATTTAAAATAAAAGAATATCATCAAAACTTGTGATCAATTTTGTCATGTTAGTTAGATAATTATGTATTATAGTTTAAAAGTATTTAACGTGATGGTATCTTAACGAACACTTCTTTGTGGACAATATTTTTTTGTGTATGTTTCCTCCTAATGATTTGGTTGCTCTGCCTTAACCAAAACTCTTGTTGTCAATCTTGATATCCCTCTTGAAAGTGCAACATACAGTTGTTCGTGCAAGAAAACATATTGCGGTAAATATAGTCCAATATTTATGATGTTTGTCCTTGTACTTTATTTGTTATATTTGCAAAACATAAATATACTAAAATTTATTTTCACACAAATTTAAAAGGATATTTCTTAGTTTCGGAAGACGAAAGTTGAAATCACGGATAAGAATATACTTAGAAGCACATTGACCAGTATCACATTTTTTGCACGTATGACGTTATTGTCAAAACTTCTATATACCATATGTATTCTATTACATAAGCTATTCGGCGTATCTAAGTTTTTCAGTAATATGACTGTCACGGCCCAAAATCCATTGTAGGTCGTAATGGTGCCTAACGCCGCCATCAGGCAAGCCAACAGTGATCAATCAACTTAGTTACTCATTTTATTATTTTCGAAATTATGAATCACAATAAATAAGTAGAGTAAAATCTGGTACTCGTAGAAAACCCGTGAATTTATTTTCCAATTTTTATATAAAATATAAATTACAAGGTGAAATGATAATAATTACGTGAACTACAATAATGAATATCCAGTAGGAACTTCCAAAACCCGGTGTCACAAGTGCATAAGCATCTACTAAGGAGTACAATAATAATACAACATATGTCTGAAATACAAGTTAGACAGAAGAATATAAATAACTCTGATGGAGACTCTATATGCCGCAGATTGTAACATGGAATGTAGCTCGCCGTAAAGTCTCTGCAATAGCCGCGCCCTTGCGTCCAAAAGACCACTAGAGATATATATATATATATATATATATATATATACCTGCACAATAAATACAACAAGTGTAGCATAAGTAAGTAAATCAACGCATACCTAGTAAGTATCTAGCCTAACACCGGAGAAGTAGTGACGAGGGGTCAGCGCCGATACTTACTAGAGGTCCAATAAAGCAGTATGCTAAATCCTAAATAAATATGAAGCACAACAGTAATAGTAGGATGAAACAGTAACCAACATAACCTCTCAAAATTTCTTTTAACAATATAAACTTCTCAATCTCGTATCCTATCTCGACGGCTCGAAAAAAATCTAGTGCCAATACCAAATGAATAAGAAATACCATATAAAATGCAAGGTATCAGTGGAAGAAAAAATCTCGTGAATATTCGGACTGCTAGCGATATAACGTACGATTATGCCGAGGTCGTACAGTCCGATCCCAAAAGGAACATGATACTGCCGAGGCGAACGGGCTGGTCCCATCATAACATATACAGTGTCGAGGGTCGAGCGATATGAACCATAGATGCATATATTATACTGCCGAGGTGAACGATCCGCTCCCATAAGAGTGTGGTATATGATCCTACAGAGGCGTTCGGCTCGCTCCACAAGAAAGGAAAGGAATTTTTGAATTACGATACGGTATATGAACACAAAGTGACTATAACCTTTACCGATTCTCAAATAACTTGCCAACAACTCAAGGTGATAAGGCTCGGCCTAATATATATGTAATTTCTAAATCAAGTTCAATTATAATTTTAATTAATTAAGCCGGCAAAATGAGTCCAAATAATTCAAATATTACATGGTAGAGTCCTAAGTCTACTCGAACATAAACATGATTTAGCCACATACGGACTCACGTCACCTCGTGCATACGTAGCACCCACAACTAGTAGCACATAACAATTATATCGCCTAGGGGATAGTTTCCCCTTCATATGGTTAGACAAGAGACTTACTTCGCTCCGAAGTTCCATAACCGGCTCCAACGCCAATCTAACACCTCAAACTAGTCGCTCAAAAACTAGTCAAACAATATGCAAACCAATAAAAATATACTCTAATACTCATAATAGATCAATTTATAACAATTCCCAACTCCGCTAGAAAAGTCAATAAAGTCAACCCTCAGGCCCATGTGCCCGAATTTCAAAAATTATTGAAAATAAATATTACTCATAACTCATATGGTCTATATCGAGAAAATCATCCAATTTCATTTATGAATCGACCCTCAAATTCAGGATTTACCATTTCTCAACTTTGGGGCTCAAAATCCCAATTTCTACAATCCAAATACGGATAAAAATAATATCCAACAAAAATAATCATGGAGAAATATCAAAATAAAGGTCAGATATTTACCCCCGTGTTGAGACGAGAACAACGCCTTGAAATCACCTCAAATGGAGCTCTAGAACTCAAGATATGCCCAAAATACTAAAATTCTCGGTTTAAAATACTGTCCAGGTAATTTTTCTTCATCGCCTTTGCGGGAGACCTTCGCGTTCGCGAAGAGTAATTTTTCGCGTTGACCGATCAACCCAGAAATCCTTCTTCGCATTCGCGAAGAACAAAGCTTCGCACCAGAAACAAAAAAATTTGTCCGACACGGAAATGGGCATAACTCTCTCATACGACATCGGAATTCGACGATTCTTATTGCTATGGCTTCGTAATTACGATGCGGATCTATGATTTTGATCCAATCACAAATCAACGATCGTTTGCTCAATATAGTGCCCTTTATGCCCAAAGAAACGACGCCTGAATATCAAAAAAAGCGTGACACAACCCAAACATCTCCAAAACACACCCGAGGCCTCCGGGACCCCGTCCAATTACACAAACCAGTCCCAAAACACATAATATGAACCTGCTCGATGCCTCAAATCACACCAAACAACATCAAAACTACAAATTGGCGATCAAAACCTTTCTTTAAACTTCCAAACATTCAAACTTTGATGAACGCGTCCGATTCATACTTAAATATTCCGGAATGACGCCAAACTTTACGCACAACTCACAAATCACGATACGAACCTATTCCAAGGCTCGGAACTTCAAACGGACATCGATAACACCAGAGTCCACTTCAAATCAAACTAAAGATATTCTAAAACCTCAAAATGCAAACTTTCCTTATTAATCACCGAAATGCCCCTGAATCACCCGATACTCAATTCGAAACATACACCCAAGTCCGAAATCATCATACGAACCTGTTGTAACCTTCAAATCCCGATTCCGAGGTCTTTACTCAAAAGTCAAACACTGGTCAACTTTTCCAACTTAAAACTTCTATATTTAGAATTTCCTTTCCAAATCAACTCTGAATTTCCCGAAATCAAATTCCGCTCACGCGTACAAGTCATATTACATGAAATGAAGCAACCCAAGGCCTCAAACCGCCGAACGACGCGCTAGAGCTCAAAACGACCGATCGGGTCGTTACAATAACAGACATAATTTTTTC